TGACTCCTAAGAGGGTGTTGAACCAAATCCTATCTTAATGTAGTGACTCCTAAGAGACTGTTGAACCAAATCCTATGTTAATATAGTGACTCCTAAGAGACTGTTGAACCAAATCCTATGTTAATGTAGTGACTCCTAAGAGGGTGTTGAACCAAATCATATCTTAATGTAGTGACTCCTAAGAGACTGTTGAACCAAATCCTATGTTAATATAGTGACTCCTAAGAGGCTGTTGAACCAAATCCTATGTTAATATAGTGACTCCTAAGAGGGTGTTGAACCAAATCCTATGTTAATGTAGTGACTCCTAAGAGGGTGTTGAACCAAATCCTATGTTAATGTAGTGACTCCTAAGAGGCTGTTGAACCAAATCCTATGTTAATATAGTGACTCCTAAGAGGGTGTTGAACCAAATCCTATGTTAATGTAGTGACTCCTAAGAGGGTGTTGAACCAAATCCTATGTTAATATAGTGACTCCTAAGAGACTGTTGAACCAAATCCTATGTTAATGTAGTGACTCCTAAGAGACTGTTGAACCAAATCCTATGTTAATATAGTGACTCCTAAGAGACTGTTGAACCAAATCCTATGTTAATGTAGTGACTCCTAAGAGGGTGTTGAACCAAATCCTATGTTAATATAGTGACTCCTAAGAGACTGTTGAACCAAATCCTATGTTAATGTAGTGACTCCTAAGAGGGTGTTGAACCAAATCCTATGTTAATGTAGTGACTCCTAAGAGGCTGTTGAACCAAATCCTATGTTAATGTAGTGACTCCTAAGAGGGTGTTGAACCAAATCCTATGTTAATGTAGTGACTCCTAAGAGGCTGTTGAACCAAATCCTATGTTAATGTAGTGACTCCTAAGAGGGTGTTGAACCAAATCCTATGTTAATATAGTGACTCCTAAGAGGGTGTTGAACCAAATCCTATGTTAATATAGTGACTCCTAAGAGACTGTTGAACCAAATCCTATGTTAATGTAGTGACTCCTAAGAGGGTGTTGAACCAAATCCTATGTTAATGTAGTGACTCCTAAGAGGCTGTTGAACCAAATCCTATGTTAATGTAGTGACTCCTAAGAGACTGTTGAACCAAATCCTATGTTAATGTAGTGACTCCTAAGAGGCTGTTGAACCAAATCCTATGTTAATGTAGTGACTCCTAAGAGACTGTTGAACCAAATCCTATGTTAATGTAGTGACTCCTAAGAGGGTGTTGAACCAAATCCTATGTTAATGTAGTGACTCCTAAGAGGGTGTTGAACCAAATCCTATGTTAATATAGTGACTCCTAAGAGACTGTTGAACCAAATCCTATGTTAATGTAGTGACTCCTAAGAGACTGTTGAACCAAATCCTATGTTAATGTAGTGACTCCTAAGAGACTGTTGAACCAAATCCTATGTTAATGTAGTGACTCCTAAGAGACTGTTGAACCAAATCCTATGTTAATGTAGTGACTCCTAAGAGGGTGTTGAACCAAATCCTATGTTAATGTAGTGACTCCTAAGAGGGTGTTGAACCAAATCCTATGTTAATGTAGTGACTCCTAAGAGGGTGTTGAACCAAATCCTATCTTAATGTAGTGACTCCTAAGAGACTGTTGAACCAAATCATATGTTAATGTAGTGACTCCTAAGAGACTGTTGAACCAAATCCTATGTTAATGTAGTGACTCCTAAGAGGGTGTTGAACCAAATCCTATGTTAATGTAGTGACTCCTAAGAGACTGTTGAACCAAATCCTATGTTAATGTAGTGACTCCTAAGAGACTGTTGAACCAAATCCTATGTTAATGTAGTGACTCCTAAGAGGGTGTTGAACCAAATCCTATCTTAATGTAGTGACTCCTAAGAGACTGTTGAACCAAATCCTATGTTAATATAGTGACTCCTAAGAGGGTGTTGAACCAAATCCTATGTTAATGTAGTGACTCCTAAGAGGGTGTTGAACCAAATCCTATGTTAATGTAGTGACTCCTAAGAGACTGTTGAACCAAATCCTATGTTAATATAGTGACTCCTAAGAGGGTGTTGAACCAAATCCTATGTTAATGTAGTGACTCCTAAGAGGGTGTTGAACCAAATCCTATGTTAATATAGTGACTCCTAAGAGGGTGTTGAACCAAATCCTATGTTAATATAGTGACTCCTAAGAGGGTGTTGAACCAAATCCTATCTTAATGTAGTGACTCCTAAGAGGGTGTTGAACCAAATCCTATGTTAATGTAGTGACTCCTAAGAGGGTGTTGAACCAAATCCTATGTTAATATAGTGACTCCTAAGAGGGTGTTGAACCAAATCCTATGTTAATATAGTGACTCCTAAGAGGGTGTTGAACCAAATCCTATCTTAATGTAGTGACTCCTAAGAGACTGTTGAACCAAATCCTATGTTAATATAGTGACTCCTAAGAGACTGTTGAACCAAATCCTATGTTAATGTAGTGACTCCTAAGAGGGTGTTGAACCAAATCCTATGTTAATATAGTGACTCCTAAGAGGGTGTTGAACCAAATCCTATCTTAATGTAGTGACTCCTAAGAGACTGTTGAACCAAATCCTATGTTAATATAGTGACTCCTAAGAGACTGTTGAACCAAATCCTATGTTAATGTAGTGACTCCTAAGAGGGTGTTGAACCAAATCCTATGTTAATGTAGTGACTCCTAAGAGGGTGTTGAACCAAATCCTATGTTAATGTAGTGACTCCTAAGAGACTGTTGAACCAAATCCTATGTTAATGTAGTGACTCCTAAGAGACTGTTGAACCAAATCCTATGTTAATATAGTGACTCCTAAGAGACTGTTGAACCAAATCCTAGTCATCAAACAGTACAGTAAAACACACAGCAGCACATTTCCTGATCTAATGAATCACCCACAATTTAAGCACCCTAAAAATAACAGATGCAAAATGTCTGTCTCGTTTTAAAAGTCCTACAGTACATGATGTGAGAGTCCCTCAGATGAGCTTTCTCTCTTACAGTAAAAACAGGTGTGTGTGTGTGTGTGTGTGTGTGTGTGCGTGCAGGCGGGCGGGCGTGCATGTGTGTGAGAGTGGGTATGTGTTTGTGTGCATGTGTATATTAGTCTCTGTGTGTGTGTGTGTGTGTGTGCGTGTAACCCTCTTGGTTGGTGGTATGACAGTCATAGAGATGTTCTCTTTCCTGCTGGTCTCTTAATCTTGTGTGTCATGTATATTTTCCAAAGCCATGTAATGGGATATAGAAGGATCAGAGGCTCTCTGCTCTGACACAGATTTTTCAGTTATGTTTTCCTGAATGTTCTGATTCTAGAAGGTTCCATAGAACCTAAACATTCAGATTCTAAAAGGTACCATAGAACCTTGATGTTCTGATTCTAGAAGGTTCCATAGAACCTAAACATTCAGATTCTAAAAGGTTCCATAGAACCTTGATGTTATGATTATAGAAGGTTCCATAGAACCTGGGCGTTATGATTCTAGAAGGTTCCATAGAACCTAAACATTCAGATTCTAAAAGGTTCCATAGAACCTAAATGTTCTGATTCTAGAAGGTTCCATAGAACCTAAACATTCAGATTCTAAAAGATTCCATAGAACCTTAATGTTCTGATTCTAGAAGGTTCCATAGAACCTTAATGTTCTGATTCTAGAAGGTTCCATAGAACCTTAATGTTCTGATTCTAGAAGGTTCCATAGAACCTAAACATTCTGATTCTAGAAGGTTCCATAGAACCTGGACGTTGTTATTCTAGAAGGTTCCATAGAACCTGGACATTGTGATTCTAGAAGGTGCCATAGAACCTGGACGTTCTGATGCTAGAAGGTTCTATATTCCATTAGACCCCCTCCTCCTCCTGCCTCCTGTGGTGTCCCTGTCCGTTAATGACAGTGGAGAGAGAATTCTCATATTACTGCTGATGTGATGTGTTGGCCTTTCTACCTGCACTCTACCTGTTAGAAAAGCTGCCCTCTGCTCACGTTGTGCCAACATGCACCATCATGTAGAATAGGACACCTGCATCGTCTGCTCTGGTCTGGCCTGGCATGTCTGTCTTTTTTGTTGCTGACCAGGTGCTCTTGATGATGAAGGTCTTTGACCAATGATGTATATGACTTGACTGAACCGATGGACTTAAAACTACATGTTACACACTGTAGTCTATTGATGAACTGCATGTTACACACTGTAGTCTATTGATGAACTACATGTTACACACTGTAGTCTATTGATGAACTACATGTTACACACTGTAGTCTATTGATGAACTGTTACACACTGTAGTCTATTGATGAACTGTTACACACTGTAGTCTATTGATGAACTACATGTTACACACTGTAGTCTATTGATGAACTACATGTTACACACTGTAGTCTACTGATGAACTGTTACACACTGTAGTCTATTGATGAACTGTTACACACTGTAGTCTATTGATGAACTGCATGTTACACACTGTAGTCTATTGATGAACTACATGTTACACACTGTAGTCTATTGATGAACTACATGTTACACACTGTAGTCTATTGATGAACTGCATGTTACACACTGTAGTCTATTGATGAACTGTTACACACTGTAGTCTATTGATGAACTACATGTTACACACTGTAGTCTACTGATGAACTACATGTTACACACTGTAGTCTATTGATGAACTACATGTTACACACTGTAGTCTACTGATGAACTACATGTTACACACTGTAGTCTACTGATGAACTGTTACACACTGTAGTCTATTGATGAACTGCATGTTACACACTGTAGTCTATTGATGAACTACATGTTACACACTGTAGTCTATTGATGAACTGCATGTTACACACTGTAGTCTACTGAGCACCACTTGTGTACAGTTCTTTAGAGTTATTTCAAGGATGAGGTGCTCCTGATGATGTTTTAATGTCTGTTTGTATGTGTGTAAAGCCAAAAACAAACGTCCACATTGCATGTAGAATGACGTTTTTCTAATTCTTATTTTCTGTTGTCCTCCATTTGCAGGATGGGCGCCTGAGGCCGGGGGATCAGCTCATTGCCATCAACAAGGAGTCCTTGATAGGCGGGACCCACGAGGAGGCTAAGAGCATGATCAACAAGGTCAAATTCAGGTGAGACACCAGACGGTGTGGGGGTGTGTGGGGGTGGGGGTGGAAATGTGTGGGAGTGGAAGTGGAAGTGTGTGGGGGTGGAAGTGTGTGGTGGTGGGGGTGTAAGTGTGTGGGGGTGGAAGTGTAAGTGTGTGGGGGTGGAAGTGTGTGGGGGTGGGGGTGGAAGTGGGTGGGGTTGGAAGTGGAAGTGTGGGGGGGGTGGGGGTTGGGTGGAAGTGTAGTGTGTGGGGGTGGAGTGTGTGGGGTGGGGGTGGCAGTATGTGGGGGTGTAAGTGTGTGGGGGTGGGGGTGGGGGTGGAAGTATGTGGGGGTGTAAGTGTAAGTGTGTGGGGGTGGGGGTGGGGGCGGGTGGGGTTGGCCGTGGCACGTGTGGGGTGGGGTGGCCGTGTGGGGGTGGCCGTGTAAGTGTGTGGGGGTGGCCGTGTGTGGGGGGTGGACGTGGGTGGGGTTGGACGTGTACGTGTGGGGGGGTGGGGGGTGGGGGTGGAAGTGGAAGTGTGTTGGGGTAGAAGTGTATGTTTGTGTGTGTGTATGTGTGAGTAACGTATATACTGCAAGTTTGTGAAATGAAATAAACAGTAATAAGGTGAGATGTAGTGTACGGTATACTTCTAAAGTTGTACTGCTAAGTGCTAACTATGTTCTTCTATCTGTCCCTCCAGTCAAGAGGCGGTGGTGGAGGTCGCTTTCATCCCTGGTAAAGGTCCATTCCCCAACAGCACGTCTCTACACAACGGTGGCCAGCGCGCCGTTGGCAACGGGTACAGCTCCGGACGCTTAAAAGTCCACGTCAGATCACCAGAGGTCTGTCTCCTCTCCTCCTCCTCCTCCTCCTCTCCCCTTCTCCTCCTCCTCTCCTCCTCCTCCTCTCTTCTCCTCCTCCCCTCCTCCTCTCCTCTTCTCCTCCTCCTCTCCACCTCCTCTCCTCCTCTCCTCCTTCCCTCCCCTCCCCTCCTCCTCTCCTCTCCTCTCCTCCTCCTCCTCCTCCTGCCTCCACTCCTCCTCTCTTCTCCTCCTCCCCTCCTCCTCCCCTCCTCTTCTCTCCTCCTCCTCCTCCTCCCCTCCACCTCTCTTCTCTACCTCTACCACCTCTCTTCTCCTCCTCTCCTCTCCTCTCCTCTCCTCTCCTCTCCTCTCCTCTCCTCTCCTCTCCTCTCCTCTCTCCTCTCCTCTCCTCTCCTCTCCTCTCCTCTCCTCTCCTCTCCTCTCCTCCTCCTCCTCCTCCTCCTCCTCTTCCTCTCCTCTCCTTCTCCTCTCCTCTCCTCTTCTCCTCTCCTCTCCTCTCTCTCCTCTCTCTCTCCTCCTCCTCCTCTCTCTCCTCTCCTCCTCCTCTCCTCTCCTCTCCCTCCTCTCCTCTCCTCTCCTCTCCTCTCCTCCTTCCTCCTCTCCTCTGTAGTGTTACTGCTTCTAGCCTGATGTAATTTGGTAATGAACTGAGTTACTGCTCTAGCCTGATGTAAGGTTTGTAAGATCTGTAGGTTACTACTCTCTAGCCTGATGTAATGTTGGGAATGATCTGTAGGTTACTGCTCTAGCCTGATGTAATGTTGGTAAAGATCTGTAGGTTACTGCTCTAGCCTGATGTAATGTTGATAATGATCTGTAGGTTACTGCTCTAGCCTGATGTAATGTTGATAAAGATCTGTAGGTTACTGCTCTAGCCTGATGTAATGTTGATACAGATCTGTAGTTACCCAGCTGATGTAATGTTGAAGGGTCTAGCCTTGGCTCTTTTAGCTCAGTGAGTTAAATTGTTTAAGACATTACAAAAACGGGGCCCCACCCATTCCAATCCCCCTTCTTTCCTAAAAAACCAAAAAAAACCCCCAGCCTCCCAAATTGTCTAGAAGGTTCATAGAACCTTGACAGTGTGAATTCTAGAGTGCATAGAACCTGGCCGTTCTGATGCTAGAAGAGTTCTATATTCCCATTAGACCCCTCCTCCTCCTGCCTCCTGTGGGTCCCTGTACGTTTAAAAAAGGACAGTGGCGAGGAGAATATAATATTATGCTGATGTGAGGTGTTGGCCTTTCTACCTGCCACTTCTACCGTTGAAAAGATTGCCCTCTGCTCACGTGTGCCAACTGACACCATCATGTAGAATAGGACACCTGATTGTATGTATGGTCTGGCATGGCATGTCTGTTTTTTGTTGCTGACCCAGGTGTCTTGATGATGAAGGTCTTTGACCACTGATGTATATGACTTGACTGAACCGCTTGGACTTAAAACTACATGTTACACACGTAGTCATGATGAACTGCATGTTAAACACTGTAGTTATTGAATGAAACTAAGGTTACACCCTGTAGTCTATTGATGTGAACTACATGTTACACACTGTAGTCTATTGATGAACTGTTCACACTGTAGTCTATTGATGAAATGTGACACGACTGTAGTATATGGATGAAACTACATGTTACCACACGTAGTCTATTGATGGATAAAAATACATGTTACACACGTAGTCTACTGATGAACGTTACACACTGTAGTCTATTGATGAACTGTACCACAATTGTAGCTCTATTGATGAACTGCATGTTACACATGTTAGTCTATTGATGAAAATACAGGTTACACACTGTATAGTTATTGATGAACTAATGTGTGTTACACCTGTGTCTATTGATGAACTGCAGTTACACACTGTAGTCTATGATTCTGAACTGTTACACCCTGTAGTCTATTGATGAAATAAATGTTTACACACTGGTAGTCTAAGATGAACTACATGTTACACACTGTATAGTGCTATTGATGAACTACAGGTTACACACGGGAGTCTTACTGATGAACTACAGTTACAAATGTAGTTCTGATGCACTGTACACACTGTAGTCATTGATGGAACTGCAGTTTTCTTTCCCCTACACTTAAACATCCCCCCCAATCATTGATTCCTTGTTGTACACAATGTAGCTTATGATGAACTAAATGTTACACCCACTGTAGTCTATTGATGAAACTGCCTGGTAAACACTGTATAGTCTATGAGCACCACTTGTGTACGTTCTGAGAAGTTATTTCAAGGGATGAGGTGCTCCTCTGATGAGTTTAATGTTGTTTCTATGTGTGTAAAGCCAAAAAACAAACGTCACATGCATGTAGAAGACGTTTTCTAATTTTATTTTCATGTTGTCCTCCATTTGAAGGATGGGCGCCTGAGGACGGGGGATTCAGCTCATCCATCAACAAGGAGTCCTCGATTAGGCGGGACCACGAGGAGGTAAGAGCATGATCAACAAGGTCAGATGAGGTGAGACACCAGACGGTTGCGTGGGGGTGTGTGGGGTGGGGGGGAAATGTGTGCGGTGGAAGTGGAAGTGTGTGGGGGTGAAAGTGTGTGGTTGTGGCGGGGGTAATGTAAGTGTGTGGGGTGGAGTGTACTTAGTGAGTGGGGGTGGAGGGTCAGATCTACAATATCCCCGGTGGGGCTGGTGGGGGGGCGAGGAAGTGGTTGGTGGTTGGGAAGGGGAAGTTGGTGGCGACGAGTGGAAGTTCGTCTGTGGGCGGCTGGTGGGGGTTGGGGGAAGCGTAAGTGCTGTGAGGGGGGAAGGGGTTGAGGGGGATGGGGGGGTCACTGGTGGGGGGCTGGAAGATGTGGGCGGGGGTACATGTAGTGTGGGGAGGGGGGGAGGGGGTGGGGGGGGAAGGAAGTACTGTGGGGGGCTGCCAGGGGTTTTGTAAGTGGGAAGGGGGTGGGTTGGTTGGCGGCGGTGGTGGCGGGAGAGGTGGGGTTGGAAGTGAGAGTGTGGTGGGGGGGGTGGGTGGGGGGGGGAAGGTAAGGGTTGTGGGGGCGGAAGAGTGCTTGTGGGGGGGGAAAGTGGGTGGGGTTGTGACTGGGTAAGTGTGGGGGGGGGTGGGGGAGGGGGTGGGGGGGAAGTGGAAGTGTGTGGGGTCGAAGTTAGAAGTGTATTTTGTGTTGGTGTAGTGTGGAGTAGGAGTATATACTGCAAGTTGTGAAATGACATTAAAACCAGTAATAAGGTGAGATGTAGTGTACGGTTTATACTTCTAAAGTTGTACTGCTAAGTGCACTATGTTATTCTATCTGTTCCCTCCAGGCAAGGGCGTGGTGGAGGTCGCTTTCCATGCATGGTAAAGGTCCATCACAAAAAAGCAGCGGCGCTACCACAACGGTGGCCAAAGCGCGACGGTGGGCACAACGGGGCAGAGACGGACGCGTAAAAGTCAAGTCAGAGCACCAGAGGAGGATAGCATCTCACTCAGAAGCAAGAGAGTCAAAGGGCGAAGAGAACGGAGCAGCACGAGAAGAGAGGAGACTAAGAGAAAGAAGAAGGGGAGTACTTCTCACCGCGCCGCTCCACATCCTTCCTCCGATCTCCGGCCCTCCCTCCCCCTCCTACTTCCCTTCTCCCTTCTCCTACTCCGTCCTCCTCCTGGCCTCCACTCCTCATATCTTTGAGTCTCCTACCCTCTCCGTCCCCTTTCATGCCGAGAGGAGCGACCCGCCCGCAGGGCAGCCCCCCGCTCAACCGCGAGGGGGGCGCGAACGGCGACAACCAGCGTCCGGGACTGCAGAGAAGCGGCAGCGGCCCGCGCCGCGCAGAGAAGGACAGGAAGAAGAGCGCGAAGAGAAGTAGCAACCGAGAAGGAGCAGAGATACGGAAGAGCAGTAGAAGAGAAGGGACGCGTAAGAATAGAAGCCGCTAAGGAAGCGACGTGCGAAGAGCCTGAGAGAGGAGAAGATAAGAAAGAACGAAGGGCAAGCAGCCGCAGAGGAGAGGGGTAAGACGAGCAGTCCTAGAGGCGAGAAGAGCGAGCTGTACACGAGAAGGACCGAGAGGGAGAATGAATATAGATTGATACAGCGCCTCGCATATGAACGTATAAGAGCCTTGCGCCTTAATTTTAATATACTGTCGACTGTATATGTTTTTTACTTCTCCTTCCTTCCTTCTCCTTCCTTCCTCTCCTCGTAGCGTTACTGACTTAGCCTGATGTAATGTGGTAATGAATAGTAGGGGTTAGACTCTAGCCTGATGTTGTTGAATGTTGGTATGATCTGTAGGTTACGGCTCTAGCCTGATGAAATGTTGGTAATGACTGTAGGGTTATGCTCTAGCCTGATGTTTAAATGTTGGTAATGATTGTAGGTTATGCTCTAGCCTGATGTAATGTTGGTAATGATCTGTAGTTTATGCTCTGCCTGATGTAATGTTGGTAATGATCTGTAGGTACTGCTCTAGCCTGATTGTAATGTTGATACAGATAGGAGGGGTTAGCTCTAGCCTGATGTAATGTTGATGAAGGGATACTTAGCACGTGGCTCTTTTAGGCTCAGTGAGTTAATATTTGTTTGTGAAGATCTATTACAAGTCTAACAGCCTCTATCCCTCTATTCCAATACTCTCCTCTCCTTCTCTTTTTTGTTCCAGATCGTCGGAGGAAACCCGCCCCAGTGCCTTCTTCCCTCCCCTGACATCTGCCCTCCGACAACACAATGGGGGGGGGGTGGGGTGTGCCAGGGGAAGAGACAGGAAAGGAGGAAGAGAATGGGGACGCTAAGCGGTGGTAAAAAAAAGGAGTGAGGGAAATAGGAAAGGGAGCGAGAGGAGGAGAGAGGAGAGAGAAGGATAGGGCGAGAGAGAGGAAGAGAGCCAGTGAGTGGGGGGGGAGAGAGAGAGCTAGAGAGCTGAGAGAAGAGCGAGAGTAGGAGAGGAGCGCGAGAGAGAGCGAGAGAGAGAGATAGAGAGAGAGAGAAGAGAGAGAGTCGAGCGATAGGTACAGAGAGAAGAGCGGAGAAGGCGAGAGAGAGGGAGGAGGATGGGCGGTATCGAGAGGCAGCCGAGAGATAGCGATAGATAGAGGGAGAGATATAGCTCCGAGAGATCTATACTCGCTAGGGGAGAGAGCGATATCTCACACATGTTTTTCGAAGAGAGCGAGCGAGACGAAGCTCGCTCGTTCTCTCTCGCTCTATTCGTATCCTCTCCTATATCTCTCTATCGCTCTATCTCTCTCTCTCTCTCTGCCTCCTCTCTTTTATCCACCCCTATATGACTAGGTAGACAAAAGCCTGGTCAGAGAAACCTTCAATGTCTATTCCTCAGAAAAAACTGTATTCTCAGACTTCCCCACCGCCCCCCAATCTCCATGGCACGTACGCAATCACACAGGGTGTATATAACACTCACTAAGTAAGGTGGTTGAGGTTTAGAAAGGAGTTGGATTTATTTATTAATCAGAGTGTGGCTGGCAACGCAGGGGGTGTGTTGGGGAGAAGGAGGGTCGTATGCCAGACCGTAGGAGAAGGAGGGTATAGTATGGCCAGACAGTAGGGATGAAGGAGGGTAGTATGTCCAGACAGTAGGATGAATGAGGGTAGTATGTCCAGACAGTAGGATGAAGCGGGTAGTATGTCCAGACAGTAGGATGAAGGAGGTTAGTATGTCCAGACAGTAGGGAAGGAAGGGGAGTATGTCAGACCAGTGATGATGAAGGAGGGTAGTATGTCCAGACAGTAGGATGAAGGAGGGTTAGTTATGTAGGACAGTATGATGAAGGAGGGTAGTAGGTCCAGACAGTATGAGAAGGAGGGTAGTATGTACCAGACAGTAGGATGAAGGAGCGGTTTAGTATGTCCGACGTCGGGTGAAGGAGGGTAGTATGTCCAGACAGTTATGATAAGGAGGGTGTATGTCAGACAGTCGGATGAAGGAGGGTATCGTATGTCCAGACAGTAGGATGAAAGGAGGGGTAGTAGTCCACGACAGTAGGATTGAAGGAGCGGTAGTAGGTCCCAGCCAGTCGAAGAAGGAGGGTAGTATGTCCAGGACAGTAGATGATAAGAGGTAGTAGTCCAGACAGTAGGAGGAGGACGGCTTAAGATGTCAAGGACAGAGGATGTGAAGGCGGGAGTTTAGTATGTCCAGACGTGGGAGAAGAGGGTAGTTTAGTATGTCCAGACAGTAGGATGAGGAGGGTAGTATAGTCCAGACAGCTCAGGGTGAAGGGAGGGTTAGTATGTCCAGACGTAGGATGAAGAGGGTAGTATGTCAGGACAGTATGATGAAGGGAGGGTCGTATGTCACCAGGACAGTAGGATTGAAGGGATATATGTCCAGACAGGTAGGATGAAGGAGGGTATATGTCCAGACAGTTGGTTTTTTGAAGGAGGGTAGTATGTCCAGACCGCAGGATGAAGGAGGGGTCGTAGGTCCAGACAGTAGGTGCAGGAGGTAGTGGTAGTATGTCCAGACGTAGGATGAGGAGGGTAGTTATTGTCAGCAGTGGATGAAGGAGGGTAGTATGTCAGACAGTAGGATGAAGGAGGGTCGTATGTCCAGACGTAGGATGAAGGATGGGGTTAGTAGTCCAGACAGTAGGATGAAGGAGGGTAGTCTGTGCCAGACAGTAGGATGAAGGGAGGGTTGGTAGTATGTCACAGACAGTAGGGGGACGCGGTGGTAGTAATGTCCAGACAAGTAGGATGAAGGAGGCGGTAGTAGGTCAATTGACAGTAGGGTGAAGGAGGGTAGTATGGCCAGACAAGTATAGGATGAAGGAGGTAGTATGTCCAGACCGTCTGATGAAGGAGGGTAGTTGTCAGAAGTATGATTGAAGGAGGGTAGTATGTCCATGACAGTATGATGAAGGAGGGTAGTATGTACGGACAGTAGGGTGTTGAAGGCAGGGAGTATGTTCCAGACAGTAGGGGAAGGAGAGGTAAGTATGTCCAGGACAGTGGGAAGGAGGGTGTAAGACTCACTTGAACCCTGTCGTGTGCCTAGTATCATCCAAGGGGTACCTCAGCCCCTTATTAACTCTCTACAGGGGGAGGATTTACCTCCATCACCTTGTTAACCCCTCTCCAGGGGGAGGGTGACCTCATCACCTTATTAACCTCTACAGGGGGAGGGTGCTCCATCACATCTTAACCCCTCTATAGGAGGAGGGTGACCTCCCGCAACTTATTAACCTCTCTTACAGGGGGTGGATTTACCCTCCATCACCCTTGTTAACCCTCTAACAGGGGGGCGGGTGACCTCCATCACCGTATTACCCCTCTACAGGGGGAGGGTGACCTCCATCACATATAACCCCTCTATAGGAGGAGGGGGACCTTCCATCCACCTTATTAAACCCCTCTACAGGGGGAGGGTGATCCTCCATCACATAGTAACCCCTATACAGGGGGGGGTGACCTCATCACCTTATTAAACTCTATAGGGGCGGGTGACCTCCATCAACTTATTAACCCTCACAGGGGGATGGTGACCTCCACACCTAATTAACCCCTATACAGGGGGGAGGGTGCTCCATCACCTTAGTAAACACCTCTATAGGAGGAGGGTGACCTCAATCACCTGATTAACCCCTCACCAGGGGGAGGGGTGACCTCCATCACCTTATTAACCCTCTACAGGGGGAGGGAGGGTGACCTCATCACAGTCTATCAATCTACCAGGGGGAGGGGACCTCCATCACCTTATTAACCCGTTCTAAGGGGGAGGGTGACTCATCACCTTATTAACCCGCTCTGTAGGGGAGGGTGGACCTCCTAACCTTCGTACACCTCTCGGGGGAGGGTGACACCGCCATCAACTTATGAACCCATCTACAGGGGAGGGGTGACCTCATCAAACCTTATAACCCTCTACAGGGGAGGGTGACCTCCAGCACCTTATTAACCCCTCTACAGGGGGAGGGTGACCTCCAGCACCTTATTAACCCCTCAACAGGGGGAGGGTGACCTCCAGCACCTTATTAACCCCTCTACAGGGGGAGGGTGACCTCCATCACCTTATTAACCCCTCTATAGGGGGAGGCGTGGACCTCCATCACCTTATAAACCCCTCAAACAGGGGAGGGTGACCTCCATAACCTTATTAACCCCTCTACAGGGGGAGGATGAACCACCCCATCACCTTATTAACCCCTCTACAGGGGGAGGGGACCTTCCATCCACCTTTTATTAAACCCTCTACAGGGCGGAGGGTTGACATCCATACCTGATGAACCATTATAGGAGGAGGTGACCTCCATACACCTTATTTAACCCCTATACGGGGGGGAGAACCCCCATCCCTTATTAACCCCTCTATCGGAGGAGGAGTGACCTCCATCACTTATTAACCCTCTATAGAGGCGGTGACCTCCATACCATTAGGAAACCCTTACAGGGGGAGGATGACCCCCATCACTCTAGTTAATAATAAGGTGATGGAGGTCACCCTCCTATTATATTATTATTATTATATTATTATTATTATTATTATTTAGTATTAGATTATTATAACCCTCTATAGGAGGAGGGGACCTCCATCACCTTATTACCCCCTCTACAGGGGGAGGATGATCTCCATACCTATTCAACCCTTATAGGAGGAGGGGACCTCCATACCTATTAAACACTCTTATAGGGCGGAGGGTGACCTCATAACTTATAACCCATCTATAGGAGGAGGGTCGACCTCCATCACCTTATAAACCCCCTATACAGGGGGAGATGACCCCCATCACCTTATTAACCCCTTTTACAGGGGTAGGGGGGTACCTCCATCACTTGTTAACCCCACGACAGGGGGGTGACCTCATCCTTTTAACCCCCTCTAGGGGGAGGGTTAGGGCTGCCTCTCAAAGTGGCACCTATTCCCACATAGTGCACTACCTTAAACAAAAAAAAAAGTAATCTAGAACCAAAAGAGTTCTGCGGGCTGTCCCCTAGTAGAAACCCTTTGAACCCATTCCACAAAGGGGTCTACCCTGGAACAAAAAGGGTTCTGCCTGAAACCAAAAAAGGGTTCTACCTGAAACCAAAAAAAGTTTATCCTATGGGGACAGCCGAAAAGAGAAAGAAAACCTTTTGGAACCCTTTTTTTTCTAAAGGAGTGTTGTTGATCAGATTTCCTAGGGCTTGGTCAAAGGAATGCCATTTGGCGACTCAGACTAGTCCTTCACTGTTCCTCAACCAGCAGGACACAATTCCAGGGGTACGGACAAACCAGTGACCAATGGACATTTCTCTAATTGCCTATTTTCTCTGTAATCGTGACAACTCACCATTCCAGCGATGAGATTGGCTAAGCTGGAGATTGACTGTGTTGATCGGTGACAGATTCATTGATGACAAGGTCCAGAGTAGACAATGAAACTAAAAAACATCAATTTCATTCAAATGAGTCAAATCTATAGCAGTCGACATATTGCCCCGGACACACACAACGTATAGCACTAACTGATTACAAAATAACTGATACAACATAATTCAGATATTGGTGTGTGTGTCTGTTTGTGTGGTGTGTGTCGTGTGTGTGTGTGTGTGTGTGTGTGTAGTGGTGTGTGTGGTGTGTGTGTGTAGTGTGTGCAAGTAATACTCCTGGTTGAGCAGCAGGCTAGCTACACACTGCTGTATCAGTCAAATGTGAAACACCTCTGTTGTGATGCTAGACCTGTGGCTAGAGGACGGGAGAGATGAGAGAGAGAGGTTAGTATATTTTTTTAAGGATAGTTTAGTTTTGAGAGAGAGAGAGACGAGAGGAGAGGAGTAGAGAGAGAGAGATTGTGCGGGAGAGTATAGGTCTGATGGAGAGAGAGGAAGGAGGATGAGAGAGGGCGGAGGAGACCGAAGAGAGCGGAGGAGAGAGAGAGGAGGGATAGAGAGAGAGAGGAGAGCGAGAGAGAGGAGAGAGAGAGCAGAGAGAGAGAGAGGTGAGGACAGGAAGATAAATGGGAGGGAGGGATGGAAAGTGTTTCAAAGGGATAGAAGAAGAGGGGGAGAGGGAGGGAGGAGAGCGAGGGAATGGAGGTAGGGATGAGGATAAAGGGTGGAGGGAGTAGAGAGGAGTCAGGGAGGAGAGGGGAGGAGGGATCGAGGGAGCAAAGCCAACTCAGGAAATATCAGTCGCGGCAGGGGGGTCAACCTAACATAAACACCACACACACACAAACACACAAACACACCAAACACACAACCACACACCACACACCACACCACACACACCAACCAACACACAACACCACACACGACACACACCCACACACACACACACACCACACACAACAAAAACACACACCAACACACAAACACTCACCATCACAACAAAATGGGACAGACAAACCGATTATCCATGAATACAGCAGCACTCGGTTGTCCCTCGTGTCTTCTCCCTCTCTCTCTCGCTCGTGCTCTCTCTTATTCTTTCTCTCTCTCGTGAACCTCCCTCCCTCTTCTGGACTCCTGGTTGTTACGGGAGTTAATATGGACAGGATACTCTGATAACTGCAGGAGAGGGCGAGAAAACACCAAGAAACAAAACCGTGTCTAAAAGCGCTGTGCCCTCTCAGGGGGGGGGTGACCCCCCTTTTTCCCAAACCTTAATTTAACCCTCTATAGGGGAGGGTGACCTCCAAACAAACTTTAAAAAATTTTAACCCCCTACGGGGGGGGGTTAAAAACCCCCCCCAAAATCCCCTTTTTAACCCCCTAAGGGGAGGGGGCCCCCCATCCCCTTTAAACCCTTAAAGGGGGGAGGGTGACCTCCAAAAATTATTCCCCCCTTAAGGGGGGGGTGACCTCCCATCACCATTAAACCCTCTAAGGGGGGGGTGACCTCCTCACCTTTTTAAACCCTCAAGGGGGAGGGTGACCTCCAACCTTTTTAAACCCCTTACGGGGGGGAGGGTGCCTCCTCCCTTATTAACCCCTCAAAGGGGGGGGTGACCTCCATCATTATTAACCCCTCACAGGGGGAGGGGTATCCATCCCCTTTTTAAACCCCTACGGGGGGAGGGTGACCCCCCTACCTTATTAAAACCGGGGGGGCCCCCTATCCCTCAAGGGGAGGGTAAACTCCATCACCTTATTAACCCCTCTATAGGGGAGGGTGCCCTCCACACCTTATTAACCCCTCTACAGGGGGAGGGGACCTCCTAAACCTTTAACCCTCTACAGGGGAGGGTGCCTCATCACCTTAAAACCCCCTCTACAGGGGAGGGTGACCTTCCATCACCTTATTAACCCCTCTACAGGGGGAGGGTGACCTCCATCACCTTTTTAAACCCCCCTCAACAGGGGGAGGGTGACCTCCATCACCTTATTAACCCCTCTACAGGGGGAGGGTGACCTCCATCACCTTATTAACCCCTCTATAGGGGGAGGGTGACCTCCATCACCTTATTAACCCCTAAAACAGGGGAGGGTGACCTCCATCACCTTATTAACCCCTCTCACAGGGGGAGGATGACCCCCATCACCTTATTAACCCCTCTACAGGGGAGGGTGACCTCCATCACCTTATTAACCCCTCTACAGGGGGAGGGTGACCTCCATCACCTTATTAACCCTCTATAGGAGGAGGGTGACCTCCATCACCTTATTAACCCCTCTACAGGGGGAGGATGACCCCCATCACCTTATTAACC